AGGGGTAAGCTCCGGGCTCTGGGCTGGGGCACGCTCCTCCACTTCTTCTGCCTCCATGGGCTCCCGAGGAGGTGCTTCATTTTCAACTGATTCTGATGTTTGTGAGTTCAAGGATACTGGCTCTGGAGCCACAGCTGACGTCTGTGGGGGTGGCTGACTGTGCTGTGCCTGGGGTCCCCCTCGACACTGAAAAGTGGGGAAGTCAGGACACCAAAGACAAGATGAAACTAAAGTAGATAACTCAGGCCAACTGAATGTGAATGGAGAAAGTGCTCCAACTAGGCTCCCTAAAGACAGTACTTTACATTCATTCTCTTTAACTCCCTAACAATCAGTATAGGACTAGCATAAATTAGATACATGACAAATAACTAATACTTTTAAACAAATTACTAACAGAGTAAAAATTGCAATTTTCTAACTTATATAAGGAAAGAGAAAGACCACAGGTTGTAGTTGCTACACAAACTAATGAAGTCAGAGCATTCCAATGCTGAACATGTCAGTTAAGAAATCAATTATGGGGTCTAGGGATACAGCTCAGTAGAGTGCTTGCCTCATATGCACAAGACGCTGGGTTCAAAATCAGGGGCTGGGGCTGAGTGGCAGAGCGCTTGCCTAGCATGCATGAGGCACTGGGTTTGATCCTCAGTACCACATAAAAATAAATAAAGGAATTTTGTCAATCTAAGAAAGAAAGGAAAGAAAGAAAAAGAAAGAAAGAAAGAGAAAGAAAGAAAGAAAGAAAGAAAGAAAGAAAGAAAGAAAGAAAGAAAGAAAGAAAAGGAAAGGAAAGGAAAGGAAAGGAAAGGAAAGGAAAGGAAAGGAAAGGAAAAGGGAAAGGGAAAGGGAAAGGGAAAGGGAAAGGGAAAGGGAAAGGAAAGGATGGAATTCTTCTTTAACTGAAAAGATGCTATGCCAAGTTATCTAAGAACTGAAACAAACTCCCCCGATACCAGGCATTCAGAGGATTGGCAGGGACAAGATACCCTCACAAAGATACTTTTTTCTGCCCAAAAGAACGACTGCAAAGAAGAGACCAGATTAGGAAGACAGAATCCTGTGGATGAGGCCAATCATGCTCCCACCCTCAGGCTACTAGGAGAAGCGGGTGGAGAGAACCTAGGCAGATTTGCTCACTTACCTCCATTCGGGATAATAAGGTCTGGATATCCCTGATCATGTGCTGGGCCATCACTAGCCGTACCCGGGGCTCACTCTAGAATAGAAAAGGAATAATCAGGACAGGTCTGAGATGAAGCCATAAGCTCCACGGCCTACTAATCCAGGTCCCAAGCATCTCATTAGCCAGGTCCACCCCACCTCATGGCCTCCTTCTCCCAGATCCCCTTCCCTGACCCTCCCAGGCCCCTCAATACCTGAATCGGGGCCTGTTCCATGTTGATGTGAACATCCACAGCAGAGCCGTCACTCTGGGGAAAGGGTAAGGGAAGTTGCTCTGGGAGAAGCCAAATACTAAGGCCTCCACACTTTTCAACTCATTCTGTGGAGCCCCACCCCTTTTTCTCAAAGACCAAGGCCAATATCTGATCAGAGAGCTCTCCAAACCCAATCTCAAGACTGAGACAACTATCTAATGTGTTCCCTGATGCTAACACAACCCAAACTACCCCTCCCTAAAAAACCCTTCCATGTGAAACACAAGCTTACAGGAAGATTGAAGGTTCCAACCATGACATAGCTGTTGGCATTCCGGTCATGAACAGAGGCCCCAGGCCCCCGAGTACCAGGCAGGGGTCCCCCACCATGGGCAGCTGAGGAAGACCCTGTCCCAGAAGATGCTCCAGAAGGGAGCTGAGTCTGAGGAGGAGCCCGTTCCACCAGGTGGATAACCTTTCCCCCAACATCTGTAGGAAAAAAGATACACACCAAAACATTGCATGAGTAGGTATATACATGGCCTTAAGCTCATCCCTCTGGGTAGCAACTTAAACCTCTGAATTGCCCTCCAACCCTCTTACTGTATTCCTGGAGCTTCTTATCATCTTGCAGAACTCGCCCCTGATAGATGAGCCGTTGTTTCTCAGAGGGGATGCTGACAGAGGCAGCAATGTGCTCCTTAAACTCCTTTACATTCATCTGTAAGGAGGAATAATCAAACACAGGAATCAGAATGGAGGAAAAAAAGAGAAAAAGCCAACTGATTTGTGGAGTTAAGGGGTAAAAACCAGTATAGAATCACTATCCAACTATCCTGACTGTAAGATATTAATTGTGCAAAACACTGAACCAAGACAACCCACTAAAATACAGAATAAATTTAACAAACTTTCAGGTATAATACAAACACATATGTTTAAAATTTCTTTTAATAGTTGTAAAAGAACAGAATGACTTTATTTTGTTTATTTTTATGTGGTGCTGAGGATTGAACCCAGTGCCTCATGGATGAGGAACAAAAAAGCCAACTAATATTCCTTCTCTCCTTTGCCTAGCTTCCAAAGGAAAGTGTATCTAGAGAGATCAGTAACCCCTTCCTAAATACAAAATGATACCAGGAGTTCATTTTTCTGCCATAATCTTAAAGACAAAAATAACTGCAAACCCAGATGGGGTGGTACACGCCTATAATCCCAGTGGCTTGGGAGGTTAAGGCAGAATTGCAAATTCAATGCCAACATCAGCAATTTAGCAAGGCTATGTCTAAAACAAAAAAGGCAAGGAGGATAGGGTAGGGAATTAGGTTAAGGAAAACTAACCAAGAAGAGGCCCCAAGCCCCAGAGTACCAGGCAGGGGTCCCCCACCATGAAGGTAAGAAGGGAGCAAAGGGCTGGGGGTGTAGCTCAGCACTTGCCCAGCATGTGCAAGATCCAGCTCTGCAAAAAAGAAGGAAGCCAAAAAGAAAAACATTTGCCCTAACTAGACAAAGTCTTGGAAAGTATTACAAATATCTAGCCACAGAAAAACCTATGTGACTTTCTTAAACACGTCTTAAAATATCATAGACCCACCAGCTCATGAGTTTGTCTATAAGAATTACAGAATTAAAAACAGATAACTATGGTATTAAATTCAAGAGTCATTTTATGCAACAGATGTTAGTAATTCCACTGAATAGTCTACTAGGGCTCCACCTGCATTATGGGTTCTGGTTTCCAGACTTCATAAGTACAGTATACAGCTGCAATCAATCTGTTTATCAGAAAAACTGTTTGAGGTCCCCGCATTGTTTCTTTTCCCCAAAACTGGAGCCCCAACTCTTCCTTTGGGCTAGGGTCCACCCATGATAGCTCAGGTTCCTCCTTCGGGTCTATTTTACTTTGCACTGAATTCTAGCAAGGTGAAGAAAGACAAAATAAAATCTGCCTCACTTAACAATAAACATACCTCCCCCAACAAACACATCAAAAGATGTTCTATCTAGAATATAAACAAAGGAATCAATGAAAATTTGAAGACAAGAAAATCAGGCTCTCCCATCAGTCTAAGGGAGGAAGAGGAAGAGCTAATGGGTATCTTCCAGAAATACTGGGATCTCACCTGGGCCCCCACAATAAAGGTCCGAGTCTGAGAGTCCAAGGTCTTCACTAATACCTCCAAGTTGTCAGGCTCCTCCATAGCGGTACTGGTAGAATCACTGGGCTCCATGGCGGACAGCTCTCTAAGGAAGAACGAAGGGAGGAAGGTCCGCTGTCGCCCGTAGATTTTATATACCGGAAGCTTCCCTGGCCTGAATCTCCGCCCCAATACCTAAAAAGTTTCTCCCACACAAGCACACACACTCACACCCGCCCCCATCCCCCTTCTGATTCCGGGGCACAGGGAGAGAAACACAAAGGGCAGGAGATCGACGGCATAGGGAGCTGAAGGACGGGAGGTGGGAGGGGCTCCACAATGCCAATCACAATAAAGGAGGGCCAGTTGGGCTGAGAATGAGGAAAGGAAGCACGAGACCAGAGACCAGTGTCATCACCGGTAGCGATAGGGTAAAGGCCCTAGAAGTCTGCAAATTCTGGGACAACGCGAGAGCGGGGGTGGGAGTGAGGGTGGGGGTGGGGGTAGCGCCCGGCTCGGCGGAGAAAGTGGCTTCGCGCACGCGCGCCACGCCCATCGAACCCGCCGAAATCACCACACACCCAAGACCGCGGACACTTACGGGGGGGGGGCTGGACCGGCTAGCTGACTGCCCCCCCTCTTCCGCCTTCCTCGGTGTTCTAGCAGAGCGGCGCAACCAACACGCGGCCACACACATATACATACACACCCCACCACCCTGTGGCTCCGCCCCCGACTTCCCCCGGTACCGTCACTTCCGGTTTCCCCTAGTCTGCTACCGAAAGCCACTTCCGTTTCCCCAATAGTATTTGGGGCTCTCGACGCGGTACTTTCGGCTCCTCCAGGTCCCCAAAGTTTACTTTTATAGGGCACGATGAGGAAGTCCGCGGCCCCAGGTATTGAGCTCCCGGGGGTGGAGATGGGCTGGGGCCGGCCTAGATGGGAAAGAGCCGAACACCCTGAGTAGCCACCGCCGCCGTCGCCCGGGGAACTGTAGTGCGCCTGCGTGAGTCGCACTACGCATGCGTAAACATTTAAGCACCTCCCTAACCCCCCTCACCCTGGCTTTTGCACTTTGCCTATGAGCACGCTAGAGACCTAGGAGGTTGAGGTGGCCATTATAAATGCCTGAAGAAAATATATCGACTCCACGCCTTCGAGAGACGCTGTGGATGGTTTTATGAACCTTGGATTTTGGAGATTTGGGATTATGCCTTATCTATATTAAAGTTTTGGCAGGCAGAGAATTTTGAGCGGCACTGACCTAGCCACCTAAAACTCTCATTCTCACTGCGGCCCTCACCTGGCCCTGTGCTCGGCGCCTCCGGAAGTCACTTTACCTTAGGCGGTTGGGGTCCGTTTGCGGGCTGCTTTGCGTCTCCTCGCGTCGTGGGGTAGAGATCGTTTTGACAGGATGGGGCGTGTTGCGGACTGTGGTGTCAAGCTAGCCATTGGCTAAGTGCGGCTGAGGGGACATGCCATGTTTTAGGAAAGCTAAGCAAGCCACTGCTTTTTAGGACTTTTCAAGAAAAGGGACACCACCACTGAATTTGAGAACTGGGAGCATACGGAGTCCGGCTGGACCAAAAGACAAGACCCTGAAAATGGGGACTTGAAGGGCCCACCAACAGGGTTTCTAAGCTTTGGGTGATTACAATCTCTATAATCCTTATCATTCCTAGGCTTTCTAGAATTCGTAGTTTATATCCAGGTGCAAGTACTATATCCGTTAAGTTACCATAAAGCCGGACGTGGTGGCTCCCTCGTAATCCCAGCAATTCGGGAGGCTGAGACAGGAGGATCGCGAGTTCGAGGCCAGCCTCAGCAGATAAGTGAGGCTGTCTCAAAATTTAAAAGGGGTGGGAATGTGGCTCAGTGGTAAAGCGTTCCAGGGTTAGATCCCACCCCCCCAGGGGGGGAAAAAAAAAGTTCCAATAAGCATGTTTAGTGAGCACTTCGTTTGTGCCAGCCACCGAGTGGGTTACAAACTGTCATGTTTTTAAGCCTTAAAAGGAGTGCAGCTCAGTAGCAGAGCTCCTTCACAGCATGTGTGAAGCCCTGGGTTCATCCCAGCACCACATGAAACACCGCAAAAGGGTTTTCAACATGTGAGATGGATAATAACATCCACGAGCCTAAGTAGAAGAGCTGGCAAATCCAGGCCTGCCAGACTTGGGATTGAGTCTTCTGCTTTACTGCTACAACAATTGTTTGTTTTTTTAATTTTTATTCAAGGGCTTGTAATCCCAGGTATTCCAAAGGCTGAGCCAAGAGTTTTGCCAGTTCAAGACCAGCCAAGGCAACAAAGTCAGACCATATCTCCAAAACAAAAAAATTTTCAAGGGCTGAGGTGTAGGTTAGTGGTTCAGCACTTGACTAGCATAACAAGCAAGGTCCTGGGTTCACCCCCAGTCCTGCAAAAATAAAATTTGTAAACATTACCCCCAACAGTATAATTAACTCTTTAGATACCCATTGCCCAGATTATGTTTTCTTTTAACTAAATCACAAGCCCATAGCCAGTCTCACCTCTCAGTGCAAATCTTTTTGTGGAAGCCCATGAGTTTTAAATAATTAAGCCCCACAACTCATCACATTAACTGCTTAACTCACTTGGCCCTATCCATTGCCTCTTGAGAATTCTTATCATTATTAGAGAATTCAGAAAGTATAAGTTCTTTATAAACATTATTATCAATTACAGAAAATGCTTCTTTAGATTTACTATGTGCAGGTCATTGTAAAGGGCTTTATGTACCTTCCTATTTAATTCTCTAAAACTGAAGATTTGCACATTTTACAGATGAAAAAACAAGACAGAGAAATTAATAAAATTGTCCCAGATCTGAGTTAGGGTTTGGACCCAATCAGACAGCAATGCCATTTTCTTTAATCATTAGAATATGTGGTCTTTTGTAGTAATAAACATTGAGTGAATTAACTCACTTATGTGTCAGCAAGTTTTTCTGGGGTATGTACAAACTATTTCTACAATTATAAACTTAAAGAGAAAACCTTCCATGCCCCAGCAACCAGTTCATACCTGTTCAAAGCACTTAAGATTGTCAATGGTTGTTTACCCAACTAGTTTTTCCTATATCCCTGGCTTCTTCAAGGCCAGGGATTGTGTCTTATTTGTTTTTATATCCATAGGGATTAGCCAGTTCCTGGCAAACAGCTAGGACTCAAAAGTTTCCTAAGTGAAGATTTGCACATTTTACAGATGAAAAAACAAGACATAGAGATTAATAAAATTAGGACCCAGTCAAGCCACTTCTCTTTGATGCAGCACAACACAAAAAGATCTCCCACCAAGATATGGGATGAAAGACCACAGGCTTCTAGCTCTCCTCAAAATTGAGAGATCCTGCAATGGTTGCATCCAGAAGAGGGGGAGGAAGGCCCCACACACTGTAGATAATCCAGGTTTGGGTTGGAAAACAAGGTTGAAGTTATTCATTAGCAGGTGAAGGGGTCAAGGGTCGAGGCATGGGGGCTGGAAGCGAGTGGACTGAGCAGCCCTCGGTGAAGAGAGCAGTTAAAGCACCAGTTACCCCACGAAGACCACCAGCTCCTTCCCACCTGAAGATGTTCAATCAAATTTGGGCAGCTCTACTCTACCTCTATGGCATTCTCCTTGACTCCATCTATCAGTGCCCTGAACACAGTCAACTGACAACTCTGGGAGTGGATGAGAAAGAGGTATGGACTGAGAATGGGGGAAGCCTATGGTGGAAGCCTTAAGAGTCTTGGGTGGGTAGCCTAGGATAACCAGAAGCTATGTTTGAAAAGGGAGGAAGAAACATGAGTGTTTTGATGATGAAAACAGGAAGAAAAATATCAATGCTGTAGCCATCACTGTGGAGATATGAAAGAATTGGAGGTTGGGGTAGAGTGGTTACCCAGGTTGATTGCAGAGGATCAAAGAGGAAGTTATTTCATGATTCCTTGTCATGAACTTAGCCCCCAATTGGAAAGAGGAAGACAACCAACACCTTCACCCCAAATCTTGTTGTGCTGACCAATGAAGCAATTGAATGAATTCTGAGATGGACCCCCCAATCTACCCTCTTTTATTCCCCTTATTGTCTCTCCAGTTCCCAGAGCCCCACCTGGGCCAGTGGTACTTTATCGCAGGGGCAGCTCCCACCAAGGAGGAGTTGGCGACTTTTGACTCTGTGGACAACATTATCTTCAACATGTCTTCTGGTTCTGCCCCACTGCAGCTCCAGCTTCGTGCTACCATCCGCATGTGAGTAGTGAGAAGGCAGAGGCATCAATAGTTGCACTCTCTGCCCAAAGTGTGAGCAGCCACCCACTGGGCTCTCGGTGGGTATATCCATGACTCTTGGCCCAGTGAATTCAATAGCTTTACCAGTTGCTCTCTGGAGAAAGAATGGACTTAACCATCTCTTGGCAGCTTGAAACCCAAAGGAAGTCAGGCATCAGCAAAGAACAAGATGGAATAAAAACATGCTGGGGCTGGGGATGTTGCTCATTTGGTAGAGTGCTTGCACAAGGCCCTGGGTTCAATCCCTGACATCACAAAACACAAACAAAAAACCATGGTGGTACTGTGTGGTTGGGGTAACACTCTGTCTTTTCTTCTTGCTATCATCACCTCTGCAGGAAAAATGGATTCTGTGTGCCCCGTGAATGGATTTATCACTTGACGGAAGGGAGCACAGACCTCAGAACTGAAGGTTGGTTCCCACCAGCTCTCAACCACCCCAGCCTCCCTAAGCTTGGTTTTGCATTTCTGTTCTCACCCATCCCCCACTCTGCCCTGACAGGCCGCCCTGACATGAAGACTGAGCTCTTTTCCAGCTCATGCCCAGGTGGAATTATGCTGAAAGAGACAGGCCAGGGTTACCAGCGCTTTCTCCTCTACAGTGAGTGGAAATGCAAGGCAGGAAGTGTCAGTGAAACGAGGGAGGGCAGAAGGGCTCTTCAGTTTGGGCCCTTAGACATCCTTTCAAAATGGGCTGAGAATTTCTGTGAGGTCCTGGGGGTGAGAAGGAGGGTCTCTGACTGGCCTGGCTGCACCCTGCCCTTTCAGATCGCTCACCACACCCTTCTGAGAAGTGTGTGGAAGAATTCCAGACCCTGACCTCCTGCCTGGACTCCAGAGCCTTCTTACTAACTCCCAGGAATCAAGGTGAGGGGTTAAAGTCTTCCAGAAGAGGACTGGGACTCACCAGGTCTTCTGCAAGTGCTAGATGAGAGGCTCATGTGATGTTACCAGAGGGCATGGCCAAAGGCAGACATCACCTGAGTGGCTGTGAGGTCACTTGTACTTCTCATAAGCTATGATGGCATCATAGGGATATGACTAAGAGCTGTCATGTTGTCTAAGGGAACCAGGATGGGTTCTGGGCTATTCAAAAAACAGGTTTAAGTCTATAGTGGATAAAGGGGGCAGAGATTCAGACATACAGGAGAAAAGGCCTTTAAGAGTCCTTTGACATGGGGAAATAAAGGCACACATTCTCCCCCAACCCCAAAACCACCAACCTTGTTCTCTCCCTGGACTGCCTTTCTATCTTCTTTTCCTTCCTCCCATCACAGAGGCCTGCAAACTGTCCAGTAACTGACCTGTAACTTCATCCGTGCCCCCAGAACAATATAGCGGGAGCTGAGTTGTTGGGGGAAAGAGAAGCTGGAGACTCCTGATTCCCTTTCAAGGAAAATAAAGATGATTTTTCAATCCACATCACATCCTGGGGTTTATCTCCAGACATCAATGTTACTCCCCCTAATTCAACACTCCTCTAGACCCTCTACCACCTAACCCCCCAAATTGGACGGCGTCAGGAAAGACACTGAGTGACAGTACCTCTCACATTGTAGTGGTGTATTTAGGATTTAGTATTACACAGTTATTTATTGCTGAGTGAACAAGCCCCTAGTCTCTTAGTGGGAACTACAAACTTCAGTGCTCCCCTGTCTGAGCTGCGAGTCCCTTCTGAGCTGTGGTACTCCTGCCAATAACTGCCTATACCATCCCTGCTTCCTCTGACTCATGAGCACCAGATCTTCCTGCAGCCTTTGTCACCTGTGGGCCCTCTCCAGGCTCCTAATCCACCAACATAGCAGCCCCATTCCTTCCTAGATGGCTCAGGTTCCAGGCTCCTGGGACATCTTGGGTCTCTCAGCCACCCTCTTAGTGAAGAGATCTCTATTGTGCCTTTTTGGTCTCCTCCACCCCTGGCAAATTTGGAAAGGGAGGAAAGACCCATTGGTATTTATTCTCCACTATCACTTTTTTTTTTTTTAATGGAAGTGGAAAGAAAAAATGTAAAAGGATAAATGTAAAAGCAGAAAGTAACAACAGCTGGTGAATCCTAGGGTAATGCCCACCATCCATAAACATGTCTGTTCTCTCAGCTAAACAGCTCTGTTCTCTCCTGTGTATGAAGGGGGGCCCTGTGCCTCACTCTCGGGTTTCTTTCTGATCCCTGAGGTCCCTGTGCTTACAATCAGAGTCATGCTCCCCAGTCTTTTACTAAAGGCCACACTATCTTCGCTTTTTGCCCCCACCCCACCCCATAGTCACAGTCCCTTTCCTTGATCTCCCCTCTGTTCTTCACCCTCCCTCAGGAAACCCTCACCCTCCCAGTCAGTGGCCTCCTCATCCCCACCAGGCTCCCGGAGGCTGACAGCCAACACCAGCGCCTGCAGGAGGCCAAAGAGGCAGGCAAAGTGTAGAGGGTGGGCAGTAAGTAGGCTCAGCACAGCATGGAGCCCATGCAGAGCAGCAAGGAAAGACAGTAGCCCGTGAATCCAGAGGCCCACTGGTCCTCGAAGACCCAATGCATCCAAGACTGCCCGCAGTGGCCGAGAGCACAGCGCCAGCAGGGCTGAGGCCAGCAGCTCTAACAGGTGTAGGGTCAGGTTGGTAGAGATCTGCAGACACTCCTCTGGGCCCCCCAGGTACCGTGGGGGTGCCCCTGGTTCCCCCCGCAGCCAGCCCAGCAGCTTCTGATGTTGGCCAGTTTTCTCCACTGGGACTTCTGGCCCAGGGGCGCCCAGTCCCCCTTCAAGAGACACCCCAGGACTCCTGGTGCCACCTGAATCCACAGGATCCCATTTTAGTTTTGGAATGGCCCCTCCATCCTCCAGTCTCCCAGACTCTTGAGTGCTAGAGACAGTCTTGTCCCACTTGAGGGAATCCATTCTTTTGTTCCCCTGTTGCTCAACTTGGGGCTCCCTGCTTGGTTCTGGAGCAGCCCGGAAACTCCTCAGTGTCCCTGAGTCCTTGGTCTTGGGAGGCCCCACATCTCCCATGGTTTCTGGGGCACTGTCCCAATCACTCCCTGAATTCTCAGGGGAGCTGTCCACCCATTTGGGTTCTGGGGCAGGTGGGTCAGGCCTCATGGGTTTCCGGCGGCCCCAAGGGCGAGGTAGCCAGCCACCAAGCCGTCGCAGGAACATGGTTGGGGTGTGTAATGAACTCCCCAAATCTAGGGCTACTTCCTGGCACTTCTTACACTCTCAAGGTCTCCTCAGAAGGCAGAATCTATTCAGGTTCAGAACAGGTTATCTGCTTGTTGATGCCGTCCTATTCTGAATTCAGAAGGGGCTCCCCGCTCCCCTGAATGGTCATGCAGCCTCAAGAATAGCAAGTGGTTTGTTTTGTTTTCCGTTTTGGGGTAAAGAAGGGAGGCACACTCGAATTCTTTCACCACCACAATCCCCACCCATGAGATTTCAAGAGTCTCAGGGTCTGACAAGACGGGGTCACCCCTACAGTGTCCGTGTTTCCAGATTTCCTTCCCAGCAGGCAGCACCCCAAGTTTCACTCACCAAGGCCACGCCACAAGGTGCCCCAGAAACTGGGGAGGCGGTGCTCCATCAAAGAAGGAAGGAAGAAAGGTGGCCCAGGGTTCTTAGGTTCTCCTGGATCTGAAAAGTCTTAATCTGCTGCCCCAAGGGAGCTCAAGGAATAGGAAGTCTCTGTTGGGAAGTAGGTGGAAGATGTCCAGCAAACTCCAGCCAATAGCGTCCGTCCCGATTAAGGAGGCTATGATTCCTACAAAGTGGCCCCACCGGCTGGCGAGGACGCAACAGAGACGCGGCCCTCCGCAAGGTCAGGACGGAGATCCTCGGAGATCCCAGTCGGGAGGCACAGCGCGAGCCTACGTGGGGACCCAGGCGTCCAGGCGCTGTGCACTGGGACCGCTCCCGGGCCCAGCGTCGGAGCCCGGGCCTCGCGGACCGCCCGTAGTCGCGGAGCCCGGAAGCAGCTGCACCGGGACGGGAGGGACTGGCGGGGGCGGAGCCCACAGATCGCGGGGCGGACCCTGAGGATCGACCTCCCCTCTACCCCCCGCGCTTTCTTTGAGCTCGGTTCCGCAGGCGGCGGCGCGTATCCGCGAGGGCCAGAATCAGAATACAAACACAGTTCACCTCCCAGAGGTACTATGCCCCGGTGCTTCTCTAGACTCGCCTACCCACTGCCCTTGGGTTCTTGTGTATCCGTCCTCCCAACTCCAGCACACACTCTCTCCACTTCTCTCGCTTTGTGAAAGGCTTTTCCGGAGGGGAAAATGATGAGGGGGACATTGAGACAGTAGCAGCCCTTCTTTGCCCCTCCATGCAGGGACCTGTTAACTCTTCATGTGCCTAGCACCTGGTATGAGCACAATGGAGTGAGGGGGTGCTAAAGTGGCAAATTGTGGGAAAACAAATTATTCCCTGCCCTCAGGAGCTTTCAGGTTGTGAAATGAACTGTGACAAGTTTAGATTTGGGAGGCCGGTTTGGTCCCAGCTCAAACAGCATTAAGGGTGGATAATTACACCTTGTATCACAGAGCTCTTGAGAGCAAGGGCTTTCCTTGACTTACCCTATCACCACCCATTATAATGTAATAAAATGACTACACTTCCCTCCTGCAGGGTTGAGAAAGTCTTTCACTAGTAGTCTTAGTACATAGTATATGACTATGTTTAAGATCAGTGACTGAATTGGCTGGAATAGTCAGGGGACCCTTCTTAGAGGAGGTGAGAATTATGGCAATTCCAGAGTTCAGGGAAGTTTGAAAGAATAGGTGGGGCACCTATCCAGCAGGGGCTAGGATCTGGAAATGAACCCAGACTGGCAGTCACCTGGGGAGGCAGCCTCTTTTGGCTCAGGTGGGACTTATATGTAGTCCCCAGATTTCTGTTTGGCTTCCTCAACAGATTCCCAAAAAGTAAATAAACCACAATACAAGATGTTTATTTCTCAATTATCAGCCCTTCCTCCCCAAATCAGTGTCCAACAACCAAAACCTGAAGATCTGGCACCTGGGCAGATCCCAGAAAACATAAGTYGAAGGGCCCAAGTCAGAGATCCAAGTTCAGAATTCAAAGCAGACCAACATCAGATTTCACCTATGTCAGAAATCAAGGTTCATGTATATCCTCAGATCCCGCTCCCAGGCCTTGTCCTTCTCCTCTTGCTTTCTGTTCTCCCTCCGGCTAAGTGTGGCCACTCGAGGAGCTCTCTCTCTCCCAGACACAGCCCGGGTATCCCGAGCTGGGAAATGTGTGACTCGGGGCTGGGGTGCTGATCTGTAACCTAGACCTTCTTGGTCCCTCTTGAGGACAGTAGGTATGGGGTTGGCACGGCCTTCACCCCGGGGTCCCAGCCCCATTCCTGGTTCCCAGCCTCCCCTCAGCAGCAGCTTGAAACCAGGGCTGGAGGTGGGCACCCCAAAGGGAAGGCTAGGGGGCTGGGAACCCCTGGACAGTGACAGCAGATGAGCAGTGGATGTGCAGTGGTTGGAGTCTTCAAAATGGGCATCACAGGTCTCGCAGTACTGAGAGGAGGGCGAAGGAGACCTACAGAGAAAGAAGAACAGAGGAATCAAAGGCAAAGAATTGAGGCCTTAGGGGGATGGCAGTGTGGGGCAGAATCCCTCCAGCTTTTCTGCTAAGGAACACATTGCCTTCCTTCCCACTTAGCATCATCACTTTGTTTTGCTTTGAACGATGGGATTAAAACCCAGGGCTTCATGCATGCTAGGCAAGTGCTCCACCACTGAGCTATACCCAAGCCCCTCCCCACCTAGCAAGAGGGACCCAGATGGCAATATTGGGAAGAAAAGTTGGCAACCAAGCCTCACAAGATCTTGGGAAAAGGAATGATAATGACTATAGCTATTATTTTTATAGTGCAGATTTCATGGCAAGTACTATTCTAGCACTTAAATATTTAACTCACTGAATCCTAAAAACAATCCCATGAAAAAGGTGCTCTTTAACCCCCATGTCTCAGATGGGAAAACATATGTAGTCATTTTCTTCCAAATAAGTGGTGTTAGAATTTAAACTTAGGGAGTATATGTCCATAACCACTTGAGTATATTACTTTATCAACCTACCCTGGAGAATAGGGACACTCCTTAAGCTGTTCTAGGGCCTCTGGTGTGGGGTGGCCAGGAAAGGCAGAACACATTGAAAGAAGAGTATGGGATAAGGTTCCCCCTCACCGGTTCTCTGGGCTCCGTGTCTCTCCATGGCTCTCCCTGATCATGCGGGCCACCTTGGCAAAGCCTGCTTCTTCAGCCAGCTGAGCAGCATCCTTGCCACCCAGCTCACAGACCCCCACCCAGGCTGCCCCTCGGCCCAGAAGATAGTGCACAGCAGCACTCTGGCCAGCTCGAGCAGCACACATCAGAGGTGTCCACCAGAAGGCATCTCKAGCGTTGATATTCCCTCCAGCTCCCCCTGCCTCACAGGGCTCCAACAGCCTTCGAAGTTCTGCCAGGTCCCCCTCTTGGGCAGCCTTCAATATCCACTGGGTCATTTTGTCCTCAGCTTCAAAGGATCTGCCTTGTCCATGTCTTCCTGATATTCCTACTGCCACTGCTTCTCCTGCAGCCTCCCTTGTCATTCTTCTTTTCTTCCTTTTTTTCTCCCTAACAGGATCAGGCCGAAATCTCTGGGGTTCAGGTGTACTGTTCTCATCTGCAATCAGTGCCTCATAGAAAGCCCGTGTTGCAGCCCCATCCAGGGTGGGCTCTGGCTTTTCAGGCTCTGACTGCTGTTGCCCATCCTTCCATAGGTCACTGGGGTCTGTGGCTGGGGTGAATGTGATGAGGGAAGGCTTGGACATGGCTTTTGGGAAAATGTAGACAAAAGAAGGATAAACAAGCAACCTAACCCGATGGCCTCTGTAGTGACCAGTACCACCTCCAGGGATCTGCTGGGAGAAAGGGTGGCCTTGGATGAACAACACCCTACTACCCCAAAACTTGATTCCACAACCTAAAGCCCTGCAAGGCTTAAGGGTCCTGGGTCACATGTAAAAACAGTGACCCCTAGAATAATAGACCCGGCCCCTTAGTAAAGATTACTAAAACTCCATGAGGAATTAGACGTGTGGATCTACATAGATGGCAGAGCTCTTGCAAATATAAAACCCTGGATTCAATATGCAGCACTGAGAAGAAAAAAAAAATCTCTAATACATACCACTAAGGAAACTAAAACCGGCCCTTTAATTCTTGCTCGATCCTATTTCGAGATCTCCTGTTTCCAAACAAAAACAGACGTGACATTTTTCTGCAGTATCTCCAGAAAATGGGAAAGGCTCCTGCCTGCGTTGCTTTGTAGGTTCCGTACCGTAAAATGGCGCTATTCTAATCTAAAGAGTTGACAAACAGCCACACGGCATGAAGACGCATGCGTGACGACACCAACAACAAAACACCCAAAAGGTGGTTTCCCGCGCTGGAACCTTTTCGAGTATACGCGTCAAGCATCGCGTGCCTAACTAGCGCGAGGACCCCGGAGTTCTGTCGGTTGGGGTCCTACTTTTACATAACGCCCCCACAATGCCCTTCGCGGCCCTCGATGTGGCCCCCACCTACAAGTTCATTTCCTGGAGCTGGGAAACCATTCTCCGGTTTAAGAAAGGCCCTGAGGAGCCAGAAGGAAACCTGGAATGCCGAGAAGCTGTGAAATGAAATAACGTCACGTTGCCCCTCACCATTACTCTGACCAGGGTTCGAAGAACACACTTAAGAGCCCGCAGCAGAACGCTCCATTCAAGCCCTAAGAGGAAATGGAGAAGTCCAAAGGGACGAACAGCAGAATGGCTGGCGCCACCTCAGGTTAGCGCACTCGGCAGTCCCGGTTCTCACACCACTCACTCAGCTCAGCCTAAGCACACCCGATCCAAGTCCCTCAGAATGGAGCCGGTCACACCTCCCGGCCTTACGCCAAATCCCGGGTGAAACATGGGTCAGTCAGGGGATCTAGTGGCGGGTCCGACTCGGAGGAAGAACCTGACTGGCAATAGGGGCCCAGTGGATAGACCTAGAATGGAGTCCATCCGCAGGGCTGTAGCGCCGAGCTGGGACCTGAGGGGAAAGGTGTGAGAGAGGCGGGGAGGGATCAGTCAGCTTGCCCCAGGCCCCGCCCCTTCTCGACCCCTCAGTCCAGTGAGCGCACGACTGTATTTCCCAGGCTCGCTGGCCCCGAACGCCGTACTTGGCTTCCGCTTCCGGTGGTGCCTCGCTGAGCCCCGCCCCCCAGACGTCTTTCTCGGGGGCCTCGCGACACCAGGGTCGTGCGCGGGTTCTCCTGGGATTCGTAGTTCGCTTCTACTCAAATCGATAGTTTTTCTCCATACTGGGGACTCCATTTCCCGGCGTCCACCGAGCCGCCCGACCCTTGGCGCTTGCGCATCTCCCTCTTCCCCACCCTCTCCAGTTTCCACTCCCCCCCCCCAGTCACCCCCCCAACTTAGCCTGCCGCGGTCGGGTCCGCGGCCTGCGCTGTAGCGGTAGCCGCCGTTCCTTAGAAGCCGTAATCCCCTCCCCCACCCCGGTCCCGTTCCCCGTCCAGAGGGTGAGTCTAAGGTCGTCGCCGTGCCTGTCCCCTGTCCCTGGGCGCGGCACATGGGGTCTTTGCGCCTTGATGTGGGGGCGAGGAAGGAAGTGACCCGGTCCATCACCAAAGGAAGGGAGGGAGAATGAGCTGAGGGCCGGAGGTGTTATCTGGGTACTCCGGTGAAAGGGGCATGACGGCCGTTCTCAGTATGTGAGGAAAGGAGGGACCCGACCCTTGGGAAGGATAAACTTCAGAACCCTTGGGAAAGACGCGGAGGACATGCAGACACCTGCGGTGGTAGGGAGCCCAAGCCGAGGGCCCAGCTGAAACTGACACAAAGGGGAGAGGTCAGGGAGGGTTAGAGAGTGGATGGAGTAGGTGGATCAGTACCTGCGGTTTCTCACAAGTGGTGGGACTTAAGAGAATTTTCCCCTCACCAAAAAGTGGCAGAAGTGTAAGAGAGGCCGGAGAGGGTTGCTTCAGGGCCTGGGATCCTTTAAGAAAGGGTGGCCCCAAATCTTTCCGTGTTGGAGTGTGGGAGGAGGGAGGATACCAGAGGCAGACGGGAGAGTTTGGGCTTACTTATAACACCACCATACCCCCTCCCCTTTTTTTTTTCCAGCCGACGTGAAGATGAGTAGTTCAGAGGAGGTGTCTTGGATTTCCTGGTTCTGTGGGCTCCGTGGCAATGAATTCTTCTGTGAAGTGAGTTCTCTTCAAACCCCTAATTGTCAACTCCTCATGTCTTTCAGTTTCTGTACACTTAGATGTGTCTATGGGCACTCCTTCCCATCAAGGAAAGGTCTTACCAGTAGTTCTCTACTAACCAGTGAAGAAGAGGCTGACTGGGGACCTGCCACCCTGCAGCAGTATAAATTTGGATTTGTTAATCTGTCTTATTACTAGGATGGTATACTGGTAGTGTCTACCTTTGGTAGTTAAGAAATTTGAAATGCTTCATGTTAAGATCTTTGTAATGGGCATGGCTGTGTGTTAATGTAAGGGATTCAAACAGCCTTTAGACACCAGGCTGTTCAGTGTCCATCATCATCACAAAGCCAGATATACCAAAGTAGAAGACAAAACAGGTTCCTAGAGATGAGAGGCAGAAGAAGAAATAGTGATCTTGAAAGGAATATCTGTGTAAGGAGGAGGTTGCTATACCTGCTTATCCTTAGAAAAGCCTAAGCTTTTTGAGAGAGTGATGTAAACTGGCAGGAGATAACTCAAGTACTTCTGCCAAGTTGGGAGTGGGGAACAGATACAGTTTAGAGCCTCTTACCCAAGTCAAGCTGGGTATTCTTATAAAGGTTCTGTCTTCTGTGTTCTGTCAGGTGGATGAAGACTATATCCAGGACAAATTTAATCTTACTGGACTCAATGAGCAGGTGCCTCACTATCGACAAGCTCTAGACATGATCTTGGACCTGGAGCCTGGTGAGGCTTCTTCAGGGTTGTTGTGTGTATGCATGTGCATTCACACACACATATGTGCCTTCTTTTCTCTTCCAATCCCTATTATTTTCTTGAGATTTTAAATTTCCTTTTAGTTCTCTACGCTTCTAACCTCAAATCCCCTGCTTTATTTTGATCCCCTATCTGACTTGCCTCATTGTGCGATGGTTTTCTTGCTCTCTGAATTTATAACTCATCATTCCATAATGCCACTTTACTCATGGATATCATTTATGACCTCTTTCTCTTGCTTTGCACCTTTCAGTCTAGACTGACTTCTTTGTGTTTATGTGTTAAGAAGGGAGTAGGGAGGGAGAGAAGAGAGCAGGGGCTGAAGAAGTGTGGAGAGAAGGCAGAGCTTCTTTGAATTGGTGAAAAGTTCAAAGGACCAGTTTTCTGGTTTGGATGCCAGGTGATGAATGGGGTGGGGCTCAAAGGTGGGCACTGGACAAGCTGAGTAGCTTATGATCCCTAAGGGTGGATGGGTATCTAGGAAAGCTGAAAAACAAGTGGTTGCATCTGGCCGGCCCACATTGCAGATGAAGAGCTGGAAGACAACCCCAACCAGAGTGACCTGATTGAGCAGGCAGCTGAGATGCTGTATGGATTGATCCACGCCCGATACATCCTCACCAACCGTGGCATCGCCCAGATGGTGAGGCCTCTCTGCTCCCACTTGACTCCTTCTGAAGCAATAAGGGAAATAATTCCTTCAGCAAGAAGTCACCATCGGGAATGGCTTCATCCCAGTCAAGGAATTTAGCTCAGGGCCAGGGCTTGGAGAATGAATCTTACTGGGGGTTGTGCTGAGGGGACTATTTTCAGGGAGGGAGATGAGAGCTTGGACAGGGGGTTGTTATAGATTGCCTCTTCTTTAGGGAACAAATAGCAGATGGCACTGATGTTCTGCAGCTTGCCCAACTGGAGGAAAGGCAGCAGAGGAGTCAGAGGGCCCATCTGGACCAGAGAAGGGGCTTCTGGTCAGAAGTGGGAGGTGGGAGGGGCAGAGTGATGTTGGTTGGGCTGAGGAAGGGCTTGCCTCTTCTCATCACACTTACCTGCCAACTCCCTTCCATTTTATTCACCTCAGTTGGAAAAGTACCAGCAGGGGGATTTTGGCTACTGTCCCCGTGTGTACTGTGAGAACCAGCCAATGCTTCCCATCGGTGAGTGTTGAAGAAGGGAGAGGAGGGCACTGTATGTCAATCTTCCAAGACTGAGGCTCAGCAGGTTGGTGCCTGAGTCTTATGGGGAATTTGGGCAGAGTTGGGGGGTACCTGGCCTGCAGAGTCTGGCTGTCTCCCAGGCCTTTCAGACATCCCAGGCGAGGCCATGGTGAAGCTCTACTGTCCCAAGTGCATGGATGTGTACACACCCAAGTCTTTGAGGCACCATCACAAGGAGGGTGCCTACTTTGGCACCAATTTCCTTCACATGCTCTTCATGGTGCATCCAGAATACCGGCCCAAGCGACCTGCCAACCAGTTTGTGCCCAGGTGGGGAGCAGGGACAGAATCACCAAGGGTCAAAGGAAAGGCTGAGGATTTACTGAGAAAAGGGAGGTCACAGATAGCCCTTTCTTGAGGCCTGCTTTTCCAAAACCAGGCTTCTTCCTGCTGAATGATTGTAGGGCAGTTATTTGATTATCTGTGCCTCAGTTTCCTTGTCCATCAAACACGGATGCTAATAGCATGTGCCTAGTTGATAGTGCTTTCTTTTTCTGTTTTGGTTGTTTTATTTTTTTGTATGTTATACTGGGATTTGAACCCAGGACTTGGGACATGCTAGACAAGTATTCTACCACTAAACTACATCTACAACTCTTTTTTAAATTTAATTTTGAAGTAAGATTTCTTTAAGGTGCCCAGGCTTTTCTCACAAACTTATGTTCTCCTCCTCAGCGTCTTGGTAGCTGAGATTATAAAAGTGTGTCATGATACCAGGCTTGTTTTGTTTTCAGTCTTGCTTATGCTGGTCTCAAAATTCCTCAGTAGCTGGAACTGTAGGGAGCACCATCACACCTGGTCTGGAATTTAAGTTTTAATGAATTTTTTATTTTTTATTTTTTTATTTATTTTTTATACAGGGATTGAACTCAGGGGCACTCAACCACTGAGCCACATCCCCAGTCCAATTTTGTATTTTATTTAGAGACAGGGTCTCACTGAGTTGCTTAGCACCTCACCATTGCTGAGGCTGGCTTTGAATTCTCAATCGTCCTGTTTCAGCCTCCCAGGCCACTGGGATTACAGCTTTAATGGATGTTTAAGATACATTCCCAAATATTCATAAACACAGAAGCTTAGGAACAACTGTTCTCAAGCATTGAGCAGGCCCATGGGGGAGCTGGGGTAGGGAGGTGGGAATGCAAGCAGGGCCAAGATTGGGCTCACCCTGCTGCCTCTCTGACCTCTGCTCTGGCCAGGCTCTACGGTTTCAAGATCCATCCGATGGCTTACCAGCTGCAACTCCAAGCCGCCAGCAACTTCAAGAGCCCAGTCAAGACTATTCGCTGATTCCCCACCYCGTGTGTCCCTCACTCAGTCTTTGACACTTCCATTCCTTTGCTGCCACCCTTTCAAGAACCCTCTGGTTTTTAGTTTAAATTAAAGGAGTCATTATTGTGGTGGGAATATGAAATAAAGTGGAAGAAAAGGCCATGAGTTAGTCTACTGGTGCTTGTGGTTGGGAAAGGGATGGTGGTGGTGTGTTGGACCCAAGGGGCCATGGCTCAGCCCACCCTCCCAGGTTGTAAACCAGCACACATCTGTGCTGCATGGATTTGGTTTTATATTTTTATTGTAGAGCAAAGTGGRGGAAATAAAATGTCAAAAGGAAAAGAAAAGAAACAATCAGGTTTTAAGGACAAGAATAATATTTTTGTTCTCTTTGAGCACCATGGGTATTTGTTTATAAGGGGCTTAACCAGCAATATTATTTTTTTAGTTTTGGTTTTAAGGGAATGTAGTCCTAAAATAAACAGAACTGTAAGGGGTGGAGAGGAGGGAAGAGATCCTGTGGTAATCCATGTTGCCCGTCTGGGGTATGTGAGACATGCTCCTCAGAAGGATGGGGATTCTTAGGCCTGGGCAATGTCCCAGCACAATGGGAACTAACCCTATTGTATGGGAAAGACTACAGAAAGTGCCAGAGACTGACACTAATCAATCTATGGGCCCTTGAGAGAAGGGGGACGTGTAGGATAGACAACTAAACAAAGATCTGTGTGGTAACCAGGTATTACCCTGTCTGGGCCACTGCTCCCACTCTCAGGAACCAGACTTTATGGTTTAGGACATGCTGTCCCTCCTGCCAAGTTAATAATTTCCTCCCCCAGCCAGAATCCTGCCCCAGGCAGGAATATAGCTCCACACTCACAGCAAACTCCTCAGACTGCCTGTCAAAACCATCCTGCTGTTCAGGATCAAACTCTTTCCTAGGGTTTTAGGCATCCTTCAGGAACCACCCCTCTCTCCCGAATTCAATAATGAAGGCCTATATGCTTGTAGATGTGCTTATCATGGTGGCCTTCACAGTGGGAAAGGGTAAGTGAGGCCCAGGGGCAGGGAAGAAGGGGAAAATCGTCTAGAAAAGGGGTAGAACTGGGGCTCTGAATGTTTGCCATCCTAGCCTCTGCTCCCATCCTTCCTTCTTTGGCATCCCCAGGTCCTGTCCCCCAGGTCCGGACCTGCCACTTGTGCCTCTTAGAAGATCCTTCTGTAGGATGCATTTCGGGCTCCGAGAAGTGCACTATCAGCAGCTTATCCCCATGCATGGTGATCACCATCTATATTAGTGAGTAAAGTCCCAGGAAGGGGCTGCTGGTGGGACAGCTATGGCTTGGTTTCTTCCTACAGAGCATCTTGGAAGGAGGGGCAGGGGTTCTTGTGGCCTCATCTGAAGGTGCCCAGAATAGAAATCGGGTCTGGGTGAGGTTTGGGGAATCAATGGCAGGGGAACCAAGTTTGGGGACTGTGTGAAGCTATTATTGGAGATTATGGCTGTCCCATCTCCTTTAGATAACAAGGTTCGCTTCATCATCCGAGGCTGTGGACAGTACAATTCTTACCGCTGCCAAGAAAAACACAGCACCTACTTGGCAGGGTACTGGTATGAGGCCCAGTGCTGCCAGTATGATTACTGCAACGCCTGGTTCAGCCCCCAACTCCAGAGCTCCCTGCCTGAGTCCCGCAAAAGACCCATAATCCGGCCCCTGTCCAACCCCCAGATCCACCAGTTCTACCAGGCCCTGAACCTCTCATTGCCCCTGCCTAGCTTTGATGCTGGGAAGGAGCCTAAAGGCCAGGAGACCCTGTTCACTCTGCCCCTGGAGCTGGGCTTGTCCATTGCTGACCTGCGCCACATGTACTTGTTCCTCAACAGTTCAAGAGTTCTGGTTCTTCCCCAGGCTGGACCCTGACATCTTTCTCTTTCAAAATTCCACTCTGTTCCAGAGCCTTTCCTCAACACCTCCAGCATCTTGCAGTACCCTCTGAGAATATCACATCCTCTGACCCCTGTGATCTCTCAGGCCTCCCTCCTTTGGACCTCCAGTGTCTATATGGTTTTCATTTAATTTCCTCCCAGGAACCCTGGTGCTGCTCTTTTTTCCTCCTAATAAAGAATCTCAAATGTGAATTCTGCCCAGTCTGACCTGAAAAAGGCAAAGAGGTTCCCATCATCTGAGAAGAGGTTCCCCTCTTCTCAGTCTGGTCACCTGCCATATCTACTCAGATCTGGCACTATATCCCCTTTCTTTTTTTTTTTTTT